CTCCTGTGGGAATACAGATATTGGGGCTTCTGTGGACTACAGAGCTCTAGTGCTGCTGACGGACAAGGATGGTGCCCTTTATGGTGCCTTTGTAAAGCAAAAATATCATACAAAGCATTTTGCAAACATGTTTTTGGCTGCTCTTTTCATGCTAGGATAAAGAACAAAGATGCCACAGCCTTCAGACTAGAGTGCCTGGCTTCTGCTTCTCAACCATTGCTTTCTAGAAGTTTAAGGTCAGGATTTCAAACAATGTTTCTCTAAAACCTTTTCTTGGGAGGTGGTGGGATAGTTCAGTGAGTGCCAATCCTGACAACGTGAGTTGGAACCTGAAATCCACATGGTGGAAGGAGAGAATTGTTTCCTATAAATTGTCTTCTGACCTCCACACATATGCCATGGCATAAATATACCCACCACATATATACAGATGGACATGCAAAATAAATGTTTAAAATATTCAGTGGAGTAAATTTTAAATGTAGCAAAATTTTGCTCTTAGATTGATGTGTCAGCAATTGATGTGTAACAGAAATCAATAGTGCTTTCCTTTGTCATTGTATGGCTGATGGAGAAAACACTCATCATCAACAGGGTCACACTCATACATGGGGACACCCAACCGTGTCACAAAACACTGCAGACATCAAAGCCACACCTGGGGACTCCCAACTGTGTCACAAAACACTGCAGATGCCAAAGCCACACCTGGGAACCAGGGAGCTTCTCCACGGGAGGGTACAAAGGGATGAGCCCCTTCATAACTAGTTTTAATTTTTTTACATTTTTTCCTCTTATTGAAAAGTAGTTTTTCTTACATAACATATCCTAACGATGCTTCCCCTCCCTCTACTTCTCCCACTTCTTGACACCTCCCCTCCCATCTGGATCCACCCCTGTGGGTCTTTCATTAGGTAGCAAACAGGCTTCTTTGAGTTAATAATAAAATAGAATAAGATAATAAAATATAAAAAGATCTAATACATCAGAATTAGACAAAACAGAGGGGAAAGAGCCCAAGAAAGAAACGCTCTTGTTTACACACTCAGGAATTCCATAAAAACACTAAACTGGAAGCCATAATATATAAGCAAAGGACACTCCACATCTTCATCTCTGGGACTCCCTGAGCACCGAGGGGAGGATCTGATGGAGACATCCCATTTAGGGCCGAGTGTTGCAAGGTCTCTCACTTGCTACATAATGTCTGGCTGTGGGTCTGTATTTTTTTTACCATCTGCTACAGGAGGAAGCTTCTCTGATGATGGCTGAGCAAGGAAGGCACTGATCTATGAGCATAGCAGAATGTCCTTAGGAGTCATTTGATTGCTAGTTTTGTTTTGTTTTGTTTTTAGAGCAGTAGTATTTGGTTCTACCCTAGGTCCCTGGATTATCTAGTCTCTGGTTTTTGGTTGCCCAAACAGTGTTAGGTATGGGTTCCATCTCATGGAGTGGGCTTTAAGTCAAAGCAGACATTGATTGGCTACTCCCACAATTGTAGATCAAAAGGTTTGTAGATCAAAGGTTTCTCTTTTGGTAACATGCAGAGTACCAAGTACCTTTGTACCCAAGATGCTAGAACATAGGGGTGAAGGCTTTATGTAGGCACCAGATCAACACCAGAAGTGTTCAATGAATTATGAAGGTATTGTCTTCAGCAATGGGGCCTTGCTATCAGTTTGTGTGGAGAGCAGCCTACAGTCTTGGCAACCGCCTGGGTTCTTTGGGGATTCTCATGGGACCCCTTTGGTCCCATGAGATTAGATGCAATCCAATCCTGGTACCGGGAGCTTCGTCTGGTGACAAAAGATAGGGACTCTGAATCCTGCATTATTTGATGATTTCATTGAGATAGCCTTCAAATGTTTATAGATTTTAGAAAGTTTGTACTCTATTAGGTGTCCATAATACCCCTTAAATGTCCCTTAATTTTAGCTGTCTCCTGCTATATTCCCTCCCAACTCCATCCCCCCTCCCCCTCCTCACTTGATCCTCTCATTTCAGTTCCCCTGCCACAACACCATCCAAGCATAAGTATTCTGTTTTCCTAAGCAGATCTATCTGCCCCACCCCGGTCCCTTACTCTCTACCTAAGCTCTGTGGTTCCACAGATTGTAGTTGGTTATTATTGACTTAACAGCTAATATCCACATATAAGCAAATGCAAACCATATTTTTCTCTCTGGGTCTGGGTTACCTCACACAGGATGATTTTTCTGGTTCCATCCATTTGCCTGTGAATTTCATTTGTTTTTGTTTTGTGACGTCTCTATGTAACAGTCCTGGTTATCCTGGAACTTGCTTTGTAGACCAGGCTAGCCTCAAACTCACAGAGATCCCCCTGCCTCCACCTCCCAAGTGCTGGGATTAAAGGCGTGCACCACCACAGCCCAGTGAATTTCATTTTTTTTAATCAGCTGAGAAGTACTCCATTGTGTAAATGTACCCCATTTTATTTATCCATTTTTCTGTTGAGGGACATCTCTAGATTGTTTCTAATTTCTGGCTATTATGAATAGAGCAGCAGTGAACACTATTGAACAAGTGTTTTGTGGTATATTGAAGCATCTTAGGGTATATGCCCAAGAGTGGTATAGCTGGATCTTGAGGTAGATCTATTCTTAACTTCCAGAAGATCACTATACTAATTTCTGTAACAGCTGCACAAGTTTGCACTCTCACCAGCCATGGGGGAGTGCTCCCCTTGCTCCACATCCTCACCAGCATGTGCTATCACAAATGACATTGATCAGCATACCTATTTTGTGAAATACTATGCTGTTTTTATTACTATAGCTCTGTTGTACAACTTAAAATCAGTAATGGTGGTACATCCAGCAGGTTATTTATTATTCAGGATTATTTTAGCTATCAGTGTGTGTGTGTGTGTGTGTGTGTGTGTGTGTGTGTGTGTGTGTGTGTTTCTATATGAAACTGAAAAGTGTCCTTTCAAGATCTATGAAAAATTGTATTGGAATTTTGATGTGGATTTTATTGAATCTGTAGATTGCTTTTGGTAGGATGGCCAATTTTACTATATTAATCCTGCCAATCCATGACCATGGGAGATCTTTCCATCATCTGATATCTTCTTCAGTTTCTCTCTTCAATGTCTTAAAGTTTTTATCATTCATGTCTTTCACTTGCATGGTTAGAATTACCCCAAGATATATTATTTGAGGCTATTGGAAAAAGTGTTGTTTCTCTGATTTCTTTCTCAGTCCATTTGTCATTTGTATGTAGAAGGGCTACTAATTTTTGAGTAGTGAGTTAATTTTGTATCCAGCTACTTTGCTGAAAATATTTATCAGGTGTAGACATTCCATGGTGGAATTTTTAGGGTCACTTATGTATACAATCGTATCATCTACAAATTAAGAGACTTTGACTTCTTCCTTTCCAATTTTATCCCCTTGATCTTCTTCAGTTAATTTATTGCTCTAGCTAAGACTTTAAATACTATATTGAATAGGTATGGAGAGAGTGGACAACCCTGTCTTGTTCTTGATTTTAGTGGAACTGCTTTGAGTTTTTCCTCATTTAAATTGACGGTGGCTTTGGGCTTGCTATAAATTACCTTTATTATATTGAGGTATATTATATACGTCTCTTGTATCCCTAATTTCTCCAGGCCCTTTATCATGAAGGGGTATTGGACTTTGTCAAAGGCCTTTTCTGCATCTAGTGAGATGATCATGTGAGGTTTTTCTTTCAAGTTTTTTATATGGTAGATTATATGTATTGATTTATGTGTGTTGATCCATCCCTGCATCTCTGGGAATAAACCTACTTGATCATGGTGGATGATCTTTTTGATGTGTTCTTGGATTCAGTTTGCAAGCATTTTATTGATTATTTTTGCATCTATGTTCATAAGGGAAATTAGTCTGTAATTCTCTTTCTTTGTTGGATCTTTATATAGGTTGGGTATCAGGGTAACTGTGGCCTCATAAAGTGAATTGATCAATATTTCTTCTGTTTCTATTTTGTGGAATAATTTGAGAAGCATTGGAATTGATTCTTCTTTGAAAGTCTGGTAGAATTATGCATTAAAACCACCTGGTCATGGGCGTTTTTTGGTTGGGGGATTTCTAATGACAGCTTCTAGGGTTATCGGTCTGTTTAAATTGCTTATCTGAGCCTGCTTTATCTTTAGTAAGTAGTACATATCAAGAAAATTATCCATTTCTTTTAGATGCCTGAGATTCTCTCTTCCATGTCTTGTTTTCTGTTGGTGAGACTTGTCTCTGAGGTTCCCGTTTGAGTTCCTAGATTCTTCATTTCCAGATCTCCCTCAGTTTGGGTTTTCTTCATTGTTTCTATTTCTGCTTTCAGATCTCGAACTATTTTATTAATTTCCTTCCATGTTTGTGGTTTCATAATTTCTTTAAGGGATTTCTTTAACCCTCTTTAAGGACTTCTGTCATGTTCACAAAGGCAGTTTTAGGTGTTTTGTCTTGTACTTCAGCTTTGTTGCAATACTCAGGCCCTGCTGTGGTGGGGTTGCTGGGCTTCTGTGGAGACATACTGCCCTGGATGTTATTGATTGTGTTTTTATGCTGGCATCTAGGCATCTGGGTTTGGGAAGATTACAATTTTAGGTGTTGATATCTGGTCTTGTCATTGCTGGATGGGTGTTTTGTTCCTTGTTTCCCCTTGCCTTCTCTGGTTCTGTGGAAAGTGTGGTGGGGGTCTCTGTGATGCCTGCTAGAAAATTCTTCCGGGATCCTGATAGGAACGGCTACTGTGGGCTCTGGGCAAATGTGTTCCTAGGTATTGGGAGCTGACACTTAGGAATGGGGAATGCACGTGGAGGGGTAGTGGGGGTCCGCAGGAGGGAGGAAAACACAATGTTCCACTAGGACCTACTTAGTCCCCTGAGGATGGGGACAGAGAGTGAGGAGAGGCCACAACAGGTGGTCTGCTACAGAGCTGGGCATGAGACTGGAGAACTGGATTTGGAGGAAAGGAGGGAGACTGAAGATCTGGGGGTTGCCTACCTGCATCACTGGCAGGCTGAGCTGGCAGGGTCCAGGGCTGCCTGCTGCAGTCATGGCCTTGGCATGGTTGGAGAGGAAGACTGGAGGGAAGATTGGCATGATCGTCTGGAGACAGGAGCAGAGGGGAAGGGGAGGTCTCAGAAGGTGGTGTGCCACAGAGATGGGTGTGAGCCTGTGCCACAGAGATGGGTGTGAGCCTGTGCCACAGAGATGGGTTTGAGCCTGTGCCACAGAGGTGGGTGTGAGCCTGTGCCACAGAGATGGGTGTGAGCCTGTGCCACAGAGGGGTGTGAGCCTGCTACAGAGATGGGTGTGAGCCTGCTATAGAGATATGTGTGAGCCTGCCACAGAGATGGGTGTGAGCCTGCCACAGAGATGGGTGGGAGCCTGCCACAGAGATGGGTGTGAGCCTGCTACAGAGAAGGGGGGGAGACTGTGCTGCAGAGATTGGTGTGAGCCTGTGCCACAGAGATGAGTGTGAGCCTGTGCCACAGAGATGAGTGTGAGCCTGTGCCACAGAGATGAGTGTGAGCCTGTGCCACAGAGATGAGTGTGAGCCTGTGCCACAGAGATGAGTGTGAGCCTGTGCCACAGAGATGAGTGTGAGCCTGTGCCACAGAGATGAGTGTGAGCCTGTGCCACAGAGATGAGTGTGAGCCTGTGCCACAGAGATGAGTGTGAGCCTGTGCCACAGAGATGAGTGTGAGCCTGTGCCACAGAGATGAGTGTGAGCCTGTGCCACAGAGATGAGTGTGAGCCTGTGCCACAGAGATGAGTGTGAGCCTGTGCCACAGAGATGAGTGTGAGCCTGTGCCACAGAGATGAGTGTGAGCCTGTGCCACAGAGATGAGTGTGAGCCTGTGCCACAGAGATGAGTGTGAGCCTGTGCCACAGAGATGAGTGTGAGCCTGTGCCACAGAGATGAGTGTGAGCCTGTGCCACAGAGATGAGTGTGAGCCTGTGCCACAGAGATGAGTGTGAGCCTGTGCCACAGAGATGAGTGTGAGCCTGTGCCACAGAGATGAGTGTGAGCCTGTGCCACAGAGATGAGTGTGAGCCTGTGCCACAGAGATGAGTGTGAGCCTGTGCCACAGAGATGAGTGTGAGCCTGTGCCACAGAGATGGGTGTGAGCCTGCCACAGAGATGGGTGTGAGCCTGCCACAGAGATGAGTGTGAGCCTGTGCCACAGAGATGAGTGTGAGCCTGTGCCACAGAGATGGGTGTGAGCCTGCCACAGAGATGGGGGTAAGATTGGGAGATTGGATTTGGAGGAGAGAAGGGAGCAGTGAAAGGGTGTGAGACTGTGCCGCAGAGATTGGTGTGAGCCTGTGCCACAGAGATGGGTGTGAGCCTGCTACAGAGATCAATGTGAGCCTGCTATAGAGATGGGTGTGAGACTGCCACAGAGATGGGTGTGAGCCTGCTACAGAGAAGGGTGTGAGACTGTGCTGCAGAGATTGGTGTGAGCCTGTGCCACAGAGATGGGTGTGAGCCTGCTACAGAGATCAATGTGAGCCTGCTATAGAGATGGGTGTGAGACTGCCACAGAGATGGGTGTGAGCCTGCTACAGAGATGGGTGTGAGCCTGTGCCACAGAGATGGGTGTGAGCCTGTTACAGAGAAGGGTGTGAGCCTGTGCCACAGAGATGGGTGTGAGCCTGCTATAGAGATGGGGGTAAGATTGGGAGATTGGATTTGGAGGAGAGAAGGGAGCAGTGAATATCCAGTTAGGCTGCCTTCTTCCCTGGCAGGAATGGCCTATGGGTTCCCAGGGAATGCCTTTTGGAGTTGGGGGCTACGATAAAGTAATGAGTTGGGGGAAGCAAGTTTGGAGGGGAAGATCTGTGTGACCCTGGAGATGGGGTGAAGGGGTGGGAGTTTGCAGCAGGTGGTAGGAATTGGAGAAGAGAAGTTCTGTGTTTAGCTTACCTGCTTCCCTGGCTTAGGAACCTGCAGCTTTGCAGGTCAACCCTTCATTTTAGATACACATTTTTTAAGCAAATATGTGCATCCAGAAAGGGCTGGGATTTCATTGCCAATGCAGGAGAACTGGGGCTCTGTGCATGCAGAGGCCAAGATAGGACAAGCCCTCACACAGGCCAGGTGGGAGGTGCCAGGTGGTTCTTAGCACAGGATGAATGTTGAGAGGAATATGATCACAGATGTTGGCTGGGCCTAGAGGCACCAGTGCAGATGTTGAACTGACAAATAGCAGTCATGCTGTATTTGGAAAATCCAACCATGCTTTTCTTCTGAGCAGTGTAGCTCCTGGTGTGGAGTATTCCTTTATACTGTGTGAAGATGTGTTAGTGTGATTGCTTTAATAAAGACCTAATGTCAAATAGCTAGGCAAGAGGTATATCAGGGACAGAGAGAACTCTGGGAAAAGAAAGGCAGAGTTGCCAGCCAGATGGAGAGGAAGCAGGATGGACAATACAGAGTAAAGGTAACTGAGCCATGAAAAAGAACATAGATTTAAAGATATGGGTTAATCTAAGTTGTAAGAGCTAGTTAGAAACAAGCCTAAGCTAAGGGAAAGGTTTTATAATTAATAATATATCTCTGTGTCTTTTTGTGTGAGCTGGCAGTCAAAAAGGGAAAGTCTGACCACAGGTTTCAGCCCCAGAGACCTGCAACCAAGCAAGGGAGAGAGCAGAGGTCTGTCTACCATGCAAGGGAATAGGCCAGCATCTCTTCATTTGGCTGAAACATGGTCAAGAATAGGGTAGAGAAGCCTTGGGGTGGGAACAAGAAGACTTCATAGAGCCCTGATACAAATGCAGACCTGGGAAGGTAAAGGCAGATGAACAAGGATTAAGAATGGCGCATGGGAGATTTCTCTGGTTGGACCAAATTTAGCAAAGCGGGCAGTTATTAATCAAATCCTTCTGGTTTGGGATGAATTGTTCTAATGAGTGTTATTCAAGATCTCTGAGCTGGTTGCTAGAGATGTCATCCAGATTTGCTGTAAGTCTGTCTTAGACAGAAGGATGACTTCCCCGGCTGCTGACTAGGGATGATGGGCTGAGGATGATAGATGAGCTTCCTAAGCTGGTGACAGATTGATGGGTTGGATCACTATGTGGGTTACTATGGAGATGTGTCGGTTCTCTATAACAGCCACAAAGGACTGAGGCACTAAGCAAATAACGGGTGAGGCGTGAGTATAGGATGCAGGTACTTGTAATTTATGAGGTCTCGTGAATGCTTGCAAAGCCTTCTTTAAAATTATTGTGTGCATGGTTTTTGTTTTTTTTTGTTTTTTGTTTTTTTGCCTGCATGTAATGTTTGTGTACCACCTGCATGTCTGGTGCCAGCAGAAGCCAGAAGAGTACTTGAGATCCTCTAAAACTAGAGTTACAGACAGTTGTGAGCTGCCATGTGAACACTGTGTCCTTTGCAAGAACACTAAGTGCTGTTGACTTCTGAGCCATCTCTCCAGTTCCCTGCTGCAGAGAGCAAGTGAAGTCCTGGGTGAGTGTATATGGTTGACATGAGCACAGCCGTGTCAAGGACCCAAAAGCCCCAGCCATGGGTGAGACTCCTGGATAGCAAAGCATTCCACTGATTCAGTGCAGACATTGACAAAGTGTACAGAAAATGTCAACCACAGCTTTCTCCACCCCGTCCCAGGGTTACAGCCTGAAAATTGCTCCCCTACAGAATGCTCTCCTGGGGTTAGCTAAGCCTACTTCCTTGTTCAGCTGTATAATAACCCAGATTCCTTGTTTATCTGTAATAACCACATGTCCCCTTCAACTATGTGTAATAAACATGCTGAGCTTCAGGGAGGGCTGTGTGTAGACAGAAATTTCCGTCCCGCTTAGTCCTGCAGCCATTTAGTCCCAAATAAACATTCAGAGGCTTATATTAATTATAAACTGTTTGGCCTATTGCTCAGGCTTATTACTAACAAACTCTTACAACTTAAATTAACCTATAATCCTTATCTATGGTTAGCCACGTGGCTTTGTACCTTTTCTCAGTAAGACATTCTCATCTTGCTTCCTCTGTGTCTGGCTGGCAACTCTGCCTTTCCTCTTCCCAGAATTCTCCTAGTCTGGTGGCCCCACCTATACTTCTTGCCTGGCTACTGGACAATCAGCATTTTATTAAGCCAATACAAGTGACAAATGTCCATTGAACAAGAGCATTATCCCACATCAGCTGTGGCTTCTACACCAGAAAGCCCAATCCTCTTGATCTCAGCTTTTCCAGGAGTCCATGTGTTTGTCCTGTTTTCAGCCCCTCACCACCCGTCAGGTCAGTCCCTGGAGCCGTGCAAGGCTCTGCACCCTGTTTTGTTTTTGTTGTTTTGTGTTGTTGTCTTCTTTCTTTTCTTTTCTTTTCTTTTAAAAACCACTGGAGAGCCCTTTACACTTCAAGAGAGGAATAAACAAAGAAAGGGACATGGAGTCCAGGACACAGAAGGCCCAGTGATGTTCCAGCTCATCCAGTCAAGTGTTCTACAGAGAAGCCGGTTGTGAATTCCAGATGGGTATAGAAAACAGACCAAATGGCAAGGTGGATCTTTCAGTAACTTCAGGATGTCTGAAGGCAGTAAAGAGGGCAGTGCACTCTGGCACACTAAGGCCCCACCATCATTCAGGTGGATGCTAGACACAGGGTAAAGCAGCATCAGCTGCCTCGGGAGTGTGTGTCCAGCCGTGAATGCGGTCCAGCTGCTACTACAGTAACCTCAACCTAAATGAGGAAGTTGTTGGAGAACTCAAAGGGTCACAAAATGGCAGCGTGCATCTGTGTATCTAGAAAGGTGGGCTCAACAATGAAGGAACCCAGTTGGGAAGTTTTCATATCACCCTCTGAGAGCAAGCACCGGGACTGGAGGCAGGATCCAAGCTGCGCTATCCAGTGGTGTCTAACAAAGTCGCTTGACTTTTCAAACTGTCTACACTGTGTAAGTTTGATACAAATGCAAAGGAGGCATAGCACTCTGAATTATGAATCCCTTTGTATGTGGAAACATATATACTCAACACCTGTATGTAGCTTAGAAAGTCATCCATTAGCCGGGCATTGGTGGAGCACGCCTTTAATTCCAGCACTCGGGAGGCAGAGGCAGGCGGATCTCTGTGAG